TGTCCGGCCTTGCCCAAGCAACTCCAAGAGACAATGCCAATTCTGTCCAGCTATGTTTATTAGCTATAACCTCTCGCAAGAGTCTTCCCAGACTGAAACCCCAGTTCCCAAAGGCCTCCAGCCACAACAGTGTGAATTCCTCAGGGAGGTGCCTGTCTCATCCTCTTGTTCCTCCCACACTGTTCTGGCGAGCTAAGAAAATGTTTGTCTCCCTGAGCCTGGCCTTCAGAATTCCATTCCATCACATTGACTTTGGAACAGTCCCTCTCTCTCAGCCCTACCCACCTCACAGGTTTGTTGTTGTGGGGGAAAATAGGCAGGAGAATGAGGCATGTTCGCCGCCTTGTGTTATATATAAAAAAGGCAGGATAAAAAATATAATCGTAATCATATAATAACAGTAATAATAACTTCATTAAAAATGGGCAGCTTTAAGGCTCTCTTCACATTTGTGTAGCTTTTAGACTGTCTGAAAATTAATGCAAGCTTTGGTGTGAAGACTTCCTGAATAATTAGAAGAGTTAATGCACACAATAATAGGGATGTTCCCTTTTGTTCCATTCCTTATATTTAAAACATATGAAAATTAGTATCCCTCTAATCCAGTGTTTCTCAACCTTGGCAGCTTTAAGATGGGTGGACTTCAACTCCCAGAATTCCCCAGCCAGCGTGCTGGCTGGGGAATTCTGGGAGTGGGAGTCCACACATCTGAAAGCTGCCAAGGTTGAGAAACACTGCTCTAATCAATACTTCCCTGGTATACTCAGCCAATGTTTTAATCACATGTCAGCTGAATTTCACCTTTCACATTAGGAGCCTGTATGTCTAAAATACCAGTTCTTAATCCTGCTTTCTCTTTGGCTTCAGTTTGGCATCGGTGTGGGCAACAGGCGCCTTGTGGATGTCACCATGGAGAAGAGGGAGAACTTCCCACCTCTCAATACACTGAAGGAATACCTGCCCATTGGTGCTGCAGATAAAATTGATCAGGGCGGCGACACCCCAAGGAATGGCGGAAACCAAGGGACCATGCAACTGAAAAAAGAAATCTCTCTCCTGAACGGGATCTGCCTTATAGTAGGAAATATGATTGGGTCCGGTATATTTGTTTCCCCCAAAGGAGTACTGAACTACAGTATGTCCTATGGATTATCACTGGTAATCTGGGCCATTGGGGGAATGTTTTCCGTGATCGGAGCTCTCTGCTACGCTGAACTGGGCACCACGATCACCAAGTCAGGAGCCAGTTATGCATATATTTTAGAGGCCTTTGGAGGGTTCATTGCCTTTATACGGCTGTGGACGTCCCTGTTGATCATTGAACCCACCAGCCAGGCGATCATCGCAATAACGTTTGCCAACTATATAGTGCAGCCCGTCTTCCCTTCTTGCCAGCCTCCGTACATTGCTTGTCGTCTTATTGCCGCTGCTTGTGTATGTGAGTATTTTGTGCAGGTCATTAGACCTGAATTTGCTTCCATCGTGGCTGGGGGAAAAAGGAGGGTCAGAACTGGAGATCCTGGCCTGTGATCTGGCATGCCCTAAAAAAATGATTTGCTTATGGCAAGATAGCCAGTGCAGGAGCACGGCTTGTTTGGGTAGAGGTACAGGAGTACCTTTTCTTTGCCCAGAAAAAGGAGAAAAGCTTGTGTGCGCTAGGATACTTCTGAATTGGGAGGCAAGTCCATCCTTCAGAAGCTCAAGGTGGCATCCATGGTGGTCCTCAACCCTCTGGAGTAAGTTAGCTTAAAGTCACCCAGTGAGCTTCCATGATTGATGGTGGACTTGAACCTTGGTCTTCCCAGTGCTTGTCCAATGCCTTTAACCACCACTCCACATTGCCTCTCCAATATTCAGTTGTTATGGCTTGAAAAGACTGATATAGAATTAATTCTTACATGTTTTTCTGGACAAGCATGCACTCCAATAGCTTTCTACACAGTGTGAGTATAATGATTTATGGCTTACTAGACCATTTTGGACCACAGAAGATGAATTGGCACTCTGGATGTTTTGGACTAGACCTCCTTCATGTTCTTTCCACTTCCCATACTTTCTTGGGAAAAGATGCAGGTAGCTTAAGGGGTTGCAGACTGGAGTCATACAATTGCACACTCCAAATCTCCTTTTCAAGATTAAAAATAAAGCATCATAAAGCCCTAGCTGATAGTCCATCTTCTTTTGTTACAAGCTTGATTGAATGCAGGATAACCAGAATAAGTTCTAGGGGTCTTGGAGTTGAAATCCACGCATCTGCCAAGGTTGAGAAACACTGCTCTAATCAATACTTCCCTGGTATACTTAGCCAATGTTTTAGTCACATGTCAGCTGAATTTCACCTTTCACATGAGGAACCTGTATGTCCAGACTGATGAGATTCATCTGGTGGCCCCTCAAAGGGAGGCCTTTCTTTATGGATGTCTTCCACTCTGCCATGGTCTCCTACAGGAATCTGAAGTGCCTCAACTCTTGTAGGCATGTGTTACAAATATTTCTGCTAGTCCAGGTCTTCCTTATAAAAATGTTCAGTGAATGGTTCTGCTTTGGTTTGTTTTTCATCTCTCTCCCCCAACCCATGAATGTGTCTTTACATTGTTTTAATTTATTGTTTTCATGTTTGCGTTATAATAACTGCTGCTGTTGTTTTTATTAAGCACTTTGCAATTCAAGTCTATAGGAATTAGTATAGAAATGTATTAAATAAACTAGTGCTTCCCAACATGGGAAAAATGAAAAAAATATGACTAATTGGAGACTTAAGCCTTTACTGAGACATTTTACAGAGGGTGAAGAGAGGGGAAAAGCTTATGATTGAGCCAAGAGATCTACTCATACGTGGGCACAGTAATATGCCAGAGTATTAATCATCATGGGTGGATATATTTTGGGTGTGTAAGTAGCTTTTCTTGCAGGGTAATAAGTGATCTCAGAAGCTTGGGTTACAGCTGTAGTAGATGCAGACTTGCGTAATAGCCATCAGACAAATACCCTTTGAGGCTATTGAGGAGAAGAGATTTCATCACGCTGGTGTTTACGGAGTAGTTTCATAAGTTATTTGTGTTCTGACAAGATATTCCCTGTGAGTTGAGTTTGGTTGGTTGAATTGCCATGGGTTGAAAGAAACAACCTGTGCCTTATGGAAGGATAACAGCTAAGTGGCTTTTGAAAATGTTACTAAGGTTGAGTGCCCTTTGAAACTAATATGGTCCAACTACTGCAACCTGGAGGACTGTGTAACCGGAATGCTGCATCAGAGCAACCCTAGTTTTTTGACTTAACTTTCACCCAGATCAGCTGGGAAAATGGTGGGCACAAGATTTTTTATTATTGTTTTATTGCTGTTTGGATTGCATGAAACTTTTTTTAAAGTAGAGGCTGATTTTTCTATTCACACTTTAAAATTAAACCACAGCTTTTACCACAGTTGGTAAAAGCCAAGGTGATATAATACACTATTTTCCCCCCCTAATAACTGCATTTGCACCATTTTTTTATTCTAGTAAATCAGTTAAATGAATAAACAGAATTTGTCAATGCTCGTAGCCCAGCTGTACTCTCTGTTTTCTGTTTATTGCTGTCACAGTCTGCTGATAATCCTGTGACAAGTGTTTTAAGGGGAGCTTTATGCTCCTTATGTTGTTAATGGGAAAAAATGGTAGTGGGAATGTTGAACACGGATGCTATAATCTTAATTAATTCCATCATGAAAGAACAACAGGATTTTATTATGTCTTGTTGGGAATGAAGCATGTTAGAATTATGATACTTAAATAGGAGTGCAAAGCATGGATACTGGATTGTTTTTCTCCTCTCACCACTCTATTTTTCATTTGTGCTTGAAAATATTAATCAATTTGTTTTCATTAATATTAGTACTAGGCAGAAATGACATTCTTTTATGTGAGGCTTTATGTAGGAAACATTCTTTTCCATTACTAAATCTCTGCTCCTTAGTCAGAAATACTGTAATTAGCTGCTGTGATAACAGGTGGGGGGATCCTCTCAATTGTATCACTGTCATTTTCATTTTTTACTCCTCTTTTTCCTTTTAATTCAGTTCCCTTCATGGCCTGGGTTGCTCTAATCATCATTTTCTGGAATATTCAAGCTGTGTGAGCAAACTGTGATTATTGATTGCTGACTTCCAAAGCCATAATTTCAAATGGATTTACAAATCATGATTGGAACTCATATTAACTATATTTTGCCTGAATAGACATCATAGTATGATTAGAGCAGTGTTTCTCAACCTTAGCAACTTTAAGATGTATGGACTTCACCTCCCAGAACCCCCCAGCCAGCATGCTTTTAAGATGTGTGGACTTCAACTCCCAGAATTCTGGGAGTTGAAGTCCATATATTTTAAAGTTGCTAAGAGTGAGAATGATTGAATTAGAGCATAAAATAAGTATGGGAAGGCAGAAGAGAAAGGTCTCTAAAAAGGCATGACCTTTCACAAGCTACAGACTCCATCAGATGCATCAACTTGTTAGTCAGAAAAGATGCTCCCAGACTCCTTCTGATTTTTGGCTATCATAGATTAACATGGTTGTCCTTCTATAATGCCAGGAATACTCCTGATTCTCCTTATGGTTGTTCAGATCCAAACATCAAATGGAATCATAATGTGGTTTGTTTGATTTTGGCCTAGTGCAAGGTATGAATCCACTCATTGTATTAACTGAATCATGGTTTATTGCTTCTAGAAGTGAAACAGGCTACTATGGCTACTTAGCAACCTGTAGCTTAATATGTAAATCCAGCTTATTTTCTGATTTAACCATTGCAGATTTTTATAACAAACTTTTTAGAGAGAAAAATAATGTATTTTAGTCTAATGGATTGTAGAGCGTTTAAAGGCCTTTGATAAAGCTTAGAGTATCAATCTCTGGTTATGTATTATTTCTGTAGAATTGGTTTCATATACAAGGTATCTTTTAGTAGAAGGTTTCCTTAACAGTGAAACCAACTTTTAAAAAAATAAATTACTATGCTTTTTGAAAATAAATTACTATGCTTTTTACAATTACGCACATAATTGTAACTGTACTTTTAAAAGCAGCCTACAGCTGAGGAAACGTATCAGAAAGGAATAGTTCCGGTTAAAATGATGGAGAAGTGTGTTGGAACTAACTTTATTTTTTCCTGTTCTTCAGATACCATAATTTTCTTTAAAATTAAAACTCTCCAACTGTTTTGTTGCCAAGTGACAGATTTGAAGTGGCATTTCCTATTTTCAACAAAAGTGTGTCAGTTAAAAAGAAATGTTTTTGTTAATTTAAAAGACATGGATTGTAAATGACAGTCTGAAAATGAACAATATTTTCATGGTTTTGGTATACTTGCCATCATGTTTCCTTTATGAAGTCCTCCTTGTTTTGCCACTGAAGTGTTAAAGAGCAAACAAATTGTTTGTGTGCCCCTTTTAAACACTGTGTTCTCCTTAACTCAACCTGCTAAGCTTGTTTACTAATATGGCGTGGTGACTATTAACTCTGGCATGGAATAGAATTTCAAGCCAGTGCTTGCTTTAAAACTACTACCACCACCATCACTTTCTAATGCCCTCCTTGCTTCCCTTTTTGTCTTGTAGGTCTTCTAACGTTTATAAATTGTGCCTATGTTAAATGGGGAACAAGGGTGCAGGATGCATTCACCTATGCCAAAGTCATTGCTCTTATTGTCATCATCGTAACAGGAATTGTTAAACTATGCCAGGGTAAGATTAATAGCTGAATATATAGAAGTTTGTATTGATTATATTGTATTGAGAGTCAGTTTGGTGTAGTGGCTAAAGCATCAGGCTAGAACCTGGGAGAACATGAGTTCTAGCTCTGCTTTAGGCACAAAGCCAGCTGGGTGACCTTCAGCCAGTCGCACACACTCAGCCCTGGGAAGAAGAAGGCAAGGACCAGCCACTTCCAAACTCTGCAGTGACTCATCCATGTAGCCATCAGGAGCCAAGACTAAATAAAACAAGATAACTAGTTTGGTGTAGTGGTTAAGGCATCAGACTAGAAACCAGGAGACTGTGAGTTCTAGTCCTGTCTTAGGCACAAAGCCAGCTGGGTGACCTTCAGCCAGTCGTACACACTCACCGCTGCGAAGAAGAAGGCAAGGACCAGCCACTTCCAAACTCTGCAGTGACTCATCCATGTAGCCATCAGGAGCCAAGACTAAATAAAACAAGATAACTAGTTTGGTGTAGTGGTTAAGGCATCAGACTAGAAACCAGGAGACTGTGAGTTCTAGTCCTGTCTTAGGCACAAAGCCAGCTGGGTGACCTTGGGCCAGTCTTCTCTCAGCCCTGGGACGAAGAAGGCAAGGGCCAACCACTTCTGAAATCTTGCCAAGAAAACTGCAGGGACTAGTCCAGGCAGTCACCAAGAGTCAACACTGATTTGAAGGGGGAAAAAAAAAAGATCAGCAAAGCCATACATTGAGGGAGCACCCATGTGGGTTATTTTTGAACAGAAGGCATAACACATGTTGATCCCCTCAGCAGCTAAGCTGATTCAAAGGGTTATGTTAAAGAGCTCCTTAATATGAACAATTTCTGTTTATGAAAAATAGATCTTCCATTTTAATGAACTTCTGGGTAGGCATGAAAGAGAAATTGTGAAATAAGCTAAGCTGGAAGTAGAGGTTTAGCAGTATTTTCAATGGATTTAACAGAGAAAAAGGTTCTGGCTGCACTGCAGCATTAATCAGTTTAGCAATGCATGGATTTATGCTACACCCAACAAATATTTTATGAACACTCAGTATTTATATGTACTTAGCACTATCAACCCCTTCCATAATTCATTTCCCTCTTATTCCCCTTCTAAACATTTTTGTAGGTGTGTGTATACTGTTCTTTTGGGAAAATACTTCCTGCATCTGGTAAAAGGAACTGTAATCCATAAAAGCTTATTCCGTAGTAATTTAGTTAATCTTTAAAGTAATACAACTCTTTTTTTTCCTGCAGCAGACACAAATGACTGCCCCGTGGGGAGTGTAGTATGTTAACAACCTAACTTGAATCTGTGAACAAGCTATGTGTGGTCACTAACTTCTTGATGTGTATATTTAAACATACAGCTGTGAAAATTGTAATTTGAGTTGAAATTTTCAAGGGGAAAAGAGGTGATAAAGAACCCTTTCCCTTTAAATGGTGCTTGCAGAAATTTCATCCTGCCAAACAGCTGTTCTTCCCCATCTCCAAATAAAGAGGAAGAGACAGTGAGGTCCAGTGATAAAGATACTGGACTAGAGGGGGGTACCTGGGTTCTAGCTGCTTTGAGGGTCTTGGGCCAGTTCCTCCCAGTCTGAGACCTGTTGCGGTTTAGATCTTAGACTAGGAATGGAGGGACCCAGGTTATGAAGATCTTATGAAGTTCTTAGGCTAGGAATGAAGGGACCCAGATTATGAAGATCTTATGGAGATCTTAATCTAGAAATGGAGGGACCCAGGTTATGAAGATCTTATGAAGATCTTAGACTAGGAATGGAGGGACCCTCAGTCACAGAAGCCAGCTGGTGACCTTGAGACAATCATTCTCCTTTAGCCCTAATCAGTGCCAGACTCTGTGACAAGCTGGCTGATAAACAAAATCCTGTGTTGCATCATGCTTTGATGTAAGAACTAGGTGAGTGCAGTGCAAAAATCAGTAGACTCCACAACTAGGCAGGACAAACATTAAGAAGGACAACATCATTTTGTTTATTTATATCCCAGGCCCCTTAATCATAGGCCTTCACTAGACAAAATCCTATTCAGCACCAGCAAGTAATTCCATCGTGAGTTTTGGGATCTTTCACTCATGCTGGTTACTTCATTTGCATAGCAAACAACCTTGAGTGCTGCTTGGTTTGTATATCAGTTGCTCAGATAAGAAGAAAAAAGGATTATTCATCTATATGATTCTGTGAAGTATGAATTGCATGTTTTCTTCAGAATGGTTGCAAGTTTCTTGAAAACCTGAAAATTCAGCGTAGGTATTCAAAACAATGCTTTGGTTTTATCTTCCTTGCTAGAATCTTACTCTGATTGACCCAGTCTGAGATCATTTATTTTCGGCTGGGAGCATTTTGGGACTACAACTATTGCATCATTTTCTAGTCTTTGTTAACATCTCTAACATTTTGAGTTTCAGCCTAATCAGTCCTGAGGTCTAGGACAAATTTAGATTAGAACAAAATCTAAATATAAGACACACACATGCATGCCCTTGTATCTCTATGGGTATTGTCTTATAGGTTTCATTGGAATAGTAAGATTTTTAAACCACTACTCATAATTTGGACTGTTTTTTTAAAAATCAAATTAAAGATGTAAGTTTTGTTGTTAATCTAAATATGCCTGCCTCTGTTACAATAAAAGTGGTTTATCTTGCTTCATAGGATTAGCAGTGACATCTTGCTGTTTAATTCCTTTCTAGTGAAGACTGGACTTTTGGTTTTACGTCTTCTGGATTTATTTAGGAACTTTTATTGCTGGAGTCTGAACGAACCTTGAAAATTAAAAACCAAGCACCAGTCCATTGGAATTCCAGCAAAACCTATTCATTGCTACAACTTAAACAACTTATTTATCTTCAGAATGTTCACTCTGCATTAACTCTTTGCATATTAATATTTGTATATTAGAATATAGTTTTAAATGGCGTAATATTATGCAGCTTCCCTCATATGACTCCTTTGACCAAACTCTGACAGTGCGAGAATATCAAGGTTAAAGAATTAGAAGGAAGTTGAAAAGAAAGAGGGGGGGGGGGAGAAACAAGTAGTAATTCCTGGAAGAGTTGATTTCAGTTGCTGTTCCTTCAGCCAGGATCAAAGATTAATGTGTCTACACAGAGTGAAGTTCTACAACTCCAATGATTGTTCCCAAAATAAAATTCACTCATTCCCAGCTTGTTATATAATTCCCAGATTTCCAACCTGGATTATTTAAAGGTTGGGGGCTCCTCTTTGGCCTTTCGCCAGCAGTGGAGAAAGGGTGCTGCCCCGAAAGATGAAGACAAAATGGAGCCAGCCCCCTCCTCTACTTAGGCTGGTTCTCAGAGCTGATTTTGGGTGGCTTCACGTGTACCTGGATTGACAGATCAATTTCCTTAAGGTTTAGGAATTTTTTAAGAAAACCCTAACTTCTACATGGCTTTTCAAATCTTGTAGAGTCATTTATGGGTTTATGTAAATTGTTCTGAGTTTCAGGCCTGAGCTAAACATGATCCCCCCCCCCCGAAAAATCATAAGTAGTTATGCTGAAATATAGATTATATCTTGTTCAAAGTTCTCTGCAATGGCTGTTCACGTGAGTGAGAGAGTGAGCGTATTAGTTAACCTCATCCAGTTAATACCGTATTTCATTTGGTCCTGAAATGTGTAGCGCAATACTTAAATTATAGTATTGTTTGAACATAAGTTTGGCCTGTGAACCAGCCATGGGAATGACCTTAAAAAGCTGTTTTGGTGACCCTTGTCTGCAGACTGCTGGCAAGGTTGCTTGTATTTTAAAGCCAAGATCTCTGAGCCCCTTTCCTTCAGCCCTACTTGTGTTTTTCCTTTGTTTCTTGTCTATTGTTCAGTTTTGGCCACCTGGCCTTGCTGATCTGTTTTCCTTATGAGCTACAGTATCTGAGCTATTGTAGGTTTATCATGACCTGTTAAAAAAAATTATTCCTGTTTGGTTTGGAAGTTTCACTCCTACATTGAGAAAATAGGAAGTCTGCATTTTCATTATGCTGAAAATGCATTTACACCTTCAATATAGTCAGTCTTCATCAGTTGGGCCTATGCCAGTGATGGCAAACCTATGACATGCATGTCAAAGGTGACACACCGTGACGTTTTGGGTGACACG